TGTGTTGTATCCATGAAAGCTCATGATACTATCTACATGTTTTGTTACTCTTTAAGGTGCTGCTACACTTTTTGTTGTTGTTTTTTTTTTTTTTAGTTTTTCCAGTTACAGACTAACCACGATACCTCTCTGAAGCACTGTCACAGTTCTAATTTCTTCCTCCTGTGGGCTAGTTTGGTCAAGACTATTCAAAAGAAAAGCAAATCATTTCTGGCATTTTGCCTGTATCAGCACTTCAACTGTTACCAGAACTGGTATATCTGACCGTAATTTTAGTAATGTCAGGAAAAATCTCAGGACAGAAATTAAGGTTGACAAAGCCTTGCATTTCATAGCCATTATTTTATAATGGACAAGAGTGGGTGGTGCAGAGTTAAGCAACCTTGGCTTCTCTCCCCCAGCTGTGGCAGCCCTAGCCTGCTCTGGCTCTCTCCCCCAAGCCTCTGTGGGGTTGGGCTGGACTGATGCTGGCCTGGATTTCTCCTCCTGGCTGCCAGGGGGTTGGGCCGAAGCTGAGGCTCTTTTCCTCCTCTCTGGAGGGTCTGAGGCCTCCCTGGCCTTCTGTCGCCCAGAGGCCACTCCTGCTCTTACCCCCAAGCCCCTCTCTCCCACTGGCCCTGGCTCTTCCCCCTGGTCCTGAGGCCACCTCTGCTCTTGCCCCTCAGCTCCTTCCACCCACACTCACCAGCCCTGGCTCTTTCCTCCCCCCCCAGCCACCAGGGAGGATGGCCAGGGCAAGGTTGGCCTAGCTCTCCCCCTGACCTAGGGGGCGTATAATGGGGCTAAGGTAAGGTGCAGGGAGGAGGCGTGGCTCCCTCCCTTCTGGATCCCCGGAGAGGGGGAGGTCCTCTGGAGCACCAGGGAGAGGAGGAACAGAGAGGCCATTTGGCTTCCTTCCCACCCCCAAACACTGGAGGAGGGGAGCGGAGGGAGGAAAAGCCACACAGATTCAGCCCCTGGCTCCTGGAACGCTGGGGAGAGGGGGAGAGGAAAGGCCGTAAAGCTCCTGGGCCGTGCAGCTCACGGCTTTGGGTCACTCCAGGAGGGGGGCCACTCCAGGGCATCAGCTGAGCACTGGGGAGAGTGGAGGGAGGGAGAGAGGGAGGAAGGGGGCAGGTGGGGCACTGTCATCCCACAGGAAATGGGATGTCACTGTCATCCCACAGGAAAACCTTTTTTATATATAGATAATGTGGTACGTGTTTTTCCTCTGTGTGGGAAGCACATGATTTTTGAGTAAAGTCTTGTAGATTGAAATACTTTCTTCAGAATAAAATTAACATTAAAATGGATCTACCAGAGTTTAGTGAGGGTTGGAATGCTGGAAAACGAGTTATGTAGAAGGTCCTCGTTGATTTGGATGATGATTGTCACTAATTGTGGCCGAATTGGGGACAAGACACAAAAAATGGCAGAAAAGTAATAATGGACCTTTAGTTACTGGTGGTAATTTGGAAAAGCCAGAAAAGACCTATTTGCTTAAGAAAAAATATAAACACTCAAGTATTATGAGACGCCTAGTAACTTTTTAATAATCAGATATTTTGCTGCACTTATGTTACTGTCACTTATATCCAGAGCTGATAGTGAGAGATTAATATTGCAGAATCTGCAATTTCCACAATATCATAAATTAAATAGGGCCTTCGTTATACACAGCACCTCAACTAGGTTTGAAAACAACTTAAAGTACTTTGCTGTAACAATACCTAAAGTTTAAGGAACTAGATTTGGAGTGGGAAGAAATAAAAATACTTTAAAAATAGAAATAGCAAATAGAATTGTCTGCATTAAGACTCATGCATTGTCAGCACTGGGATTTTACTCATCAGTGTAGCTGCACCAACAGCTGAAATCAAATAGCCAAGGTTAAAGAAGTTATGAAGCTTTGCAACATCACTCTCTATATATTAAAAAAATTTTCCTTTGGGATGACCGTGACATCATACGTCACTCTGTGTCCCGTAGCTCCTCCCTCTGCCCTCAGCTGCTTTGCCTCCCCTGTGCTCCAGGGAAAAGTGAGGAGAGCTGGGGTTGGCCTGGCCTCGCCCCCCCCTCCCCCTCAGTGGCTGGGGAGAGAGCCAGGTGAGTCTTTGGCCCAGCAATGCTTCATGCCGGCCCTTCCCAGCGTCCAGGGACAGAGAGAGTAAGGACTGGGACCTCCCCAGAAGCCTGGGGGGAAGCTGGGCACGACTTTGCCCCAGGCGGCCAGGTGGGCTCAAGAGCCAGGGCTGACAGGGGGCGAGGGCCCAAGAGGTGGGGCTACCTCCACCTCTTGGGGGGAAAGAACAGTTGGGGTCAGGGTGGCATAAGACACCCTCCCTCCCCCAGTGGATGGGAGGAGGAGAAGAGGCGGAGCCACCCTGGGCCCTCTCCAGTAGCTGAGGGCAGAAGGGAAGGGCCAGAGTGGCCTTGGACCCTTCCCAGCAGCTGGCAGGGGAGAAGAGCTGGGGTTGGGGTGGCCTTGGCCCCAGGCCCTCCCTGGCCAAGAGGGGAGTTGGCAAGTTTAGCAAGCATGTGTGCAGCCCCTTAGTGAAAGAATAAAGTAGTGTGAAGCCTTTTGAACCATGAATGAGTATTACTAATTAATTGCACATGTGTTTTTTAACAGGTAATTTGGCCTCCTGGGATGCTGTCAAGAGTAAAAGTGGATGGAATCCTTCTGAAAGTGGTAGATTTGGGCTAAACTAATTTTTACCTGGTTGTCAACTCAATAATATTTAGCCGGAATGGATGCTTTCAACAACATACTTCCTCCAATAAGTGGAAACAGTGATCTTGTTGGTTCACAAGCAGAAATACAAAAACTTTTAATTGATGAAAGAATGAGGTGTGAAAATCACAAAACAAATTATCAAACTCTAAAGGCAGAGCATACAAGGTACAATATTCAAATGTCTATTTTCCTTATTTTGTTTGAACTACTAAAAGGTAAAATTAAATATTGGAAGGAAGGGTTTTAGTTTTAGCTAGTTACTTTCTGACTTTAATTTGTAATAGTAGCAATATAAGTATTTACAGGAGTTAGGCATAATTCTGTAACTTGCTCCATCAAAGGAAGGCTTTGATTATTAAAATGCTCAGTGTCCTATAGAAATGTATGTTACTTCTCAAATTTATGCTTAAGGATGAGTTCGACTGTCAGTTTTCTAAAATAATACTTTCATTCGTTATAACAGTAATTTAAAAATCTCAACATATGCCAGGTGAGAGAGTTCTTGAAATTATTGCATATTTACAGATGCACTGAATATTTCAGAATTTAACAACATAATCATGTCAAATTAATTTTTGGGGGGTTGTGAAGGATACCCAGTAAGTATATTGTCAGATTTAATGTTTCTCTACTTTTGCTTCTGTATCTCTCTTATTATTTGACTTCAGATTAATCAGCAGAAGAAAGATCTGATGTTTTAGAAGTTTAATGGGCATTCTTAGTCTAAAATAAAAATTTTATATTTTGCAGATTACAGGATGAGTATACAAAATCACAGAATGAGTTCAAACGGTTGTTAGCTGAAAAGCAAACCATCCATGAAAAATTTCAGTTTCTTCTTGCTGAGATCCGAGGGGAATTATTAGATAAAACTAGGGAACTAGAGGAACTGAAGATGCAGGTGAGATAATAGTTACCAGAACTTACTATGAATTTTGCAGAAATTCTGCAGAAACATTTCTATAATCTTTATCAATGTTACATATTTTAGCTTTGGCTTTTCTTTCTACTTGTTATATTGTCTCTCTTGCAGCCATGTACTCAAATCCTCGACTGAGTTGTGCTCCTATTGTAAATTGGCAGGAGCAGAAATGAAATGACAGTTAAAACTCCTAGTATCGTTTATATTTTCTAAACCAGTAGTCTCAAACTTGAAGCCTCTGAGTGCAATGGACTGCAAAGAAAAAAGAAAGACATTATTTAGCGCACACACAATTTCCTATACAGGCAGTCCCCGGGTTACGTACAAGGTAGGGACTGTAGGTTTGTTCTTAAGTTGAATTTGTATGTAAGTCGGAACTGGTACATATTGTAGGGGAAACTCTAGCCAAACATTTCTCCAGAGCTCAGTTTTATTCTCCCACACCTCACTTCCCTCAGTCCTTTATTCTCAAGCTGAGGTGTCTGCTGAGAAAAGCCGCTCCGCGTCTCCCTGGTCTGCTGGGGGGAAGCAGCTAGTGCGGGGTTGCCTCACCCCGTTTGTAAGTAGGGATCCGCTGTAAGTTGGATCCATGTAACCTGGGGACTGCCTGTATTCCCCCATGGGTTTGCCACAGCAAAACAGTCATGGCTTCTTGGTGTGACACACACCCTATCTGGGAGTATTTAGAAAAAAATTGTTTCTTGTGTAAAAAGGGAAAATGTGTCAAGTGTAAGCAGTGCAGGAAGATGATGCAGGGCCTAGTTGCAAGAATGAACCATCATAAGGAAAACTGCTTATTAGGAGAAGATGATGTAAATGAAGATATGGATATGGCTGAGTGGATCAACTGGTTAGAAACTCAAATAATTCACTTTACAAACCTCTATGCCTTGTAGTATAAATATTATTTTACAAGTAAATTCCCAAACTTTTTGCTGTATTAGATGTTGCTAGAAAAAGAGGTTTAGCATAGCTAATCCTTATGGCTTGTTTAATTAACTAGGTTTAGCGTTTCACTCAAGTATACAATACAAAAAGCTGCAGTAAGGGAAATCTAGAGTTGCCAGTTGCAAATGACTGTCATTTTCTTATTTTATATTGCATAATATATGCCCCTTATTTTGGAACATTATGGCCAAAGACCATAATGGTGATGCCATAAGTACTGTTCCCTATTTTGCTTCAGTATATCTCAGCTTTTCCAAAGAAACCCCCTTCTAGACTTGTTTTCTCAAAAAGCAGAAGTGCCAGTAAATTCAGTAGCTCTTAATCCAAAATTAAATGCACTCTAAGCACAGTCTCTTAGCTTTTTTGGTAACTTGATTTAAATCAGTGGGTTTTTTTGGTGATTTAAATCAATCCATCCCGATTTAAAGGTATTTTGGCAGTCAGCTTCATGGTTTTATGTTAGCTATTCAACTGTCAGTGAAATCGCTTTCTAGCATTCTTTCTGAGCAAACCTATATCTCTTGAATCAATCCTTCTGACAGTCAACATTTGCCTCCGGTTCTTGACTTACATTTTAACAGTGGTATCAGCCTTCCTCAACTGGGATGGGATTGTAATGATCCTGTTCCTGTGTGACACATTCAGATGGGTTCTTTAGTTTCTTTTGCATCTGCAGTCTGCTTGTTGGATTATGAAGGCCTGTGTGATCCTTTCTCCTGAATATAAAAACTAGGGCTGCCAAACGATTAAAAAATTTAATCGCGATTAATTGCGCGCTCCTCCCCTTTGAAACGCCACAGTGGCATTTCAACAGGGCAGTGCTGTGTGGAGCCTAGGATCAGCTGGAGTCCCCAGCTGACCCCAGGCTCCATGCAGTGCTGCCCCTTGGGAAGCACCGTGGAGGCGTTTCCAAAGGGCATCCTGTTAGAAGCTCGGCTCCGCTGTTCGAAGGACCTTTGAAGTGCTGGAGCCAGAGCTGTCTCGAATTATTTTGGCACCCGGGTGTGCGCACGGCGCATGTGCTGCCCGGTCGCTGGTGCGCAGCCCGCGGCCCGCCCCCGGGGTGCATGGCGCATGCGTTGCCTGGCCTGGCCACCACTGCTGGTACGCAGTGCCTGCCCATGCAGGGCCCCGCAGTTGTGGGGGGAAGGTGGGGGGCTGGCACTGCAGGAGCCGGGTGCACTGCACCTGATGGCAGCTATAAGGGACGCCGTGCGCCCCTTACAGCTGCCATCAGGTGTCCCCCATCGGTTGGTGCCCTGGGCAGCTGCTCTGCTCGCCCACCCCTTAGTCCAGCCCTGGCTGGAGCAGTACTTCAAAGGGGCTTTGCAACTGGAGCCGGGGATCAGCTGGGCACTCCTGCTGATCCCTGGCTCTGCTTGCGCTGCTCCTTTGAAGTTCTGTTTTGGTGCTTTAAAGGGGCAGCACATTAGGAGCCTGGGATCAGCTGGGGACTCCAGCTGATCCTCGGCTTTGCCTGCGATTAATATGTTAAAAAAATTAACATGTTACTCCTGTCCTGAGTTAATCGCAGGCGTTAACACAGGTCAATTGATAGCCCTAATAAAAACATCAATTCCTAGTAATTTAATATAATTTGGTCAGGGAAAGACAATCCTATCTGATAGAAAATTCTAAAGATCTGTCTTCCCCACAGTTCATTCAAAATATACTGAAGTAGATAAATCTTTTTACTGCTTCTGGAGTGGGTCTTTAGAGTCTGAAACACTTTTGGGGCTCAGAATGGCAGAAGACAAGTAGACCTTCTCAGGGATTTTCTACTTATGGGAGGCAATTGAGAGTTGGTACAGGAGCTGCTTTGCAATCCACCATCTTGCCATGTTGGATTTAAGCCATTGTGGTCTGGGCTTTTCTAAAAGAATTTTAGGAGCATTTGTTCTAGTATTTGTAGGAGTCACTTTTTGACTCTCAAGGTTGAGAGAGTTCTTAAAGGCAGGCTACGTAACTGTAAAATTTTTTTTAATGAATTGACCTATTCTATTAATTCTATCTAATTCTAGTAAATCAAAATGGAGACATTCTAAACACTCTTCCCACCTTTTCCCCACATTTCTGTTTGTTGCTAATAGTAATGCTACATTTCTCTAGTGCATTGAAATCCAGTCAAAATTAAATGACGGGTGCAACTCTGGCCAATCTGATTTGATGTATGCAAAAGCAGACACCAACAGAGGTTAAAAATTGTCTAATTTAAGAAATATTGTAACTGAGAGCAGAATGATCTATAGTCTTTAAAAACAACAACACTTTTTTTCTAGTGTGGAGAACTGTAACCCAAAATCTTTCCTTCGTCATCAGGAAAATAAGAATGCAGTAAGACCATGCCAATTGCACTTCTCTGAGGGATTTTTCTTTTCTTCCTTGGTCTGTACTTATCGATGGTATCTTCATTCTTCTGAATCTATTCAGAACATTTTAATTTAATAAAGAAATGAGCAAATCGCTGAAAAAAATAAGTGTGAAGAAAGCAAGCCCTTTACTATTTGAGCCTTAGACTTGAACTACAGCCTTATCTGAAGAACATGAAAGATGAGGGGTAGTGGCTGGATTTATTTTATATATACTTAATATTGTTAGCCTTTGCTATGTTAATGTTTTCACTCAGAAAACACATCAATTATAGTTGGATTGATTAGCTTTATTTGAAGTAGGAAAAAACTTAATTTTATAAATGGCATGCATTCATAAATAATTTTTTTAAAATTGTATATGTAAGTTTCATTGCCCAACATTTGTTTTCCAATATCAATTGTTTAATATGACTCTTTGATTACTATTCTATTGTACATTTGTTTTGTGTATATGACAGGTACTAACTCCTCAAAAGCTGGAGTTGTTAAAAGCACAAATACAACATGAATTGGAAACCCCTATGAGAGAACGCTTTCGGAAGTTAGATGAAGTAAGTAAGGAGTATTTAACTTTGTTTCCTGTAGATTAAGGGAAGGGTTTCCCCTCCAACCCTCCTGAAAGGTGTCAGGAAAATTCTATGGATTCTTCAGGAAATAAGTATTTACTTTTATATGTTTATCTACTTTTGTGCTCAAGTGAATCTCTCCCACTTTCTAATTTAGGAGGTAGAAAAATACAGAACTGAATATAACAAACTTCGTTATGAACATACGTTCCTCAAATCAGAATTTGAACACCAGAAGGAAGAACATACACGTATTTTAGAAGAGAAAAAAATGAAGTATGATTCTGAGGTAGGTAGAGAATACATAACGTAAGCTATACCATTATAGAAGTAAAATATTTGAGGTGTTTATTTTTTTAATGTAACTTTAACTATTCTTAAAATTTTGTCATTGTTTGTACTCTTTTAATATGCTATCCAAGTACTCTCAGCTTTCTTAAATTGTATGAACTGTCATGGCCTGGTCCATAACAATTTATATCAGTTTGTACAAGATACCTTGCAGGAATATCAGTTGTCCTTTTGCAAATACAGGCTTGTCTTTAAATAGCAGCTAATAACAATGTTTGCATACCTTTTTGAATTAACTCTGAGAGGTTTATATAGATCAGTACATCTTCAATCCTAAATTAGTAGCTCTAATTGTCTAAATATATGTAAGTATAAAATGTAGGTTATATACCTGGTTACTAACCCAAGAAAAGGGCAGCAGGAAATACGAAGGTGAGCAGGAAAACTTGTCCTTCAAGTGTCTCAGTATCCTTTTGTTTGCCACTTCTGAAAAATTTTCCTGATCTCTCCGCTATAAATCCCCTAATCTGTTTCAAAATTTGTCTTTACCTACCATTTACCTTTTGGGTAAAATATTAGATGATCAGTTTTGTTTGTAGTCAACTTTTCAAGAAAGAGACTAAACTGAAAATGCAAATATTTGGACGAGTATGTATATACTTACCAATTGCATCCTCAAATGTATCTCTTGCATATTATATTTACATGCTTACCTGAAAATTTAGCCAGAAGTTATATCTATTCTGAGACCTACAGTATGTGGCTCTGTTATAATATGCACAATCAAGACTTGTGTCTAAAACTAATTCAGGTCTTCTCTCATCAACATCTTAAGATTTGAGAATCACAGTTCAGCTTTTGAAGCTTTGCAGTTCAAAATCTACATTTGTGTCAGAATTATAGGTGAAATTATTTCCACACTCTTATTGCAAAGACTGCTTTGCTTTGTTTTCCATCTTACAGTTAAAACACGGTAACTTCACCAAACTTTCCAAAATCAGAAACTGGGGTCTGATCCACACTGAAGAGTGAGGTAGACATAAGACAGGTTATGTCAAACTAATTGTCAGTCTACACACTACAGCCTTGCTCTCTTCAATGTATGTGCCCTATGACACCAACATAACTCCATCTCCACAAGAGGTGTAAGGCTTATGTGGTTTAGGATAATGCAGTGTCCATGTAGATGCTGCATTACTTACATTGGCTGTCATTTTTGTCAGTTTCACAACTCTGTGCCAGAGCTGTGAAATGGAGAAGAAAGCTGCAGGGCAGGTTGCCTCAGACTCCCTGCTTCTAGCCAGACTGCACCTGCCCCACTCCAAGCCCTATTGCCCCCTTAGCTCTCAGCTTCCCACTGGTGGGTAGTAGAGAACCGAGATCTGGAGAGTGAGCCTCTCTTAACCTCTCTTAAGTCCATGGAAGCACTCCTGTGGAGGGGAGAGGTTAAGTCCATGGAAGCACTCCTGTGGAGGGGACACACTACTGACTGGAGGAGGATAGTGTGGACATGAACAACTACAGTAATTACTGTGGTGGTAGTAAGTCAGTCTACAAAAAGGTGGCTTACCTTTCTAGTGTAGACATGCCCTGACTATGTAAGTTCTCAACTGGCAGGCTCTTGCGGAAGGGACAGTCCTTCTTGCCATTGACTGAGAGCATGTCTACATTGCAACGAGACACCTGCAGCTGGGCTGAAGGCTTTTTAATTGTGGTGTAGATATTTGGGATAGGGTTACAGACAGAGTTCTGGGATCCTCTCTCTCAGGAATCTTGTAGCCTTCTCTCCAGCCAGATCCCGAACATCTACACTGCAGTTAAACAGCCCCTTAATTTGAAGCTGGCTGAGGCCAGTCATGGGTTTTTTAATTGCAGGTGCCGACTGGCCCACTTTTGTTTCCTTCACAACTGCCAGGCTGAAGTCCCATTGTAGTGGTTCTGCAGATCTTATTACTCAACAAAATTAACATGAGTTAATGCCTGTGATTAACACAGGGCAGAATTAACATGTTAAAAAAATTAACGGTGTTTCAAAGAGAGCGCCGAGTGAAGCCCGGGATCAGCTGTGTGGTGCTGGCCCTTTGAAACACCGCAGCGGCATTTCAAAGGGGCAACGCAATGTGGAGCCTGAGGTCAGCTGGAGTCCCATTATTATTTAACAATGCGATTAATTGTGATAAATGTTTTTAATCGCGGTTAATATTTTTTAATCATGAGACAGCCCTATTAACATTTAAATGCACATAAACTTCTCTATTTAATGCAAATTGCTTAATGTAACAATTATATATTTTTCTGTGTAACTATTAGATAGCAAGACTGGATAAAGATAAAGAAGAACTGCATAATCAGCTGCTTAGTGTTGATCCCACAAGAGACAATAAGCGCGTGGAGGTACTCCTAAGAGAAAAGGCTCAGCTACATCAAAAATTAAAAGGTTTAGAAGCTGAGGTAGCAGAACTAAGAGCAGAGAGAGAAAATAGTGGTATGCAAGCAGAAAATGTTCAAAGAATACAGGTACGACAGTTGGCAGAGATGCAGGCTACAATGAGATCTCTGGAGGTAAGAAGTATGTCTCCCAGTGGAACATTTAAAATAAGTTTGAGTAGGCTCTGGTTCTATGTACATGGTAAAAAATTTAAAATTTTGCATTTTCCACACTTGCAATGACTTAAAATTATAAGTATATAGTATCTCTAACTCTGTCCTAGAATTGGCTACATGTTAATTGAAAGAGTCTTATAGACCAGTGTTTCTCAACCAGTGGTACGAGTACCCTTAGGAGCACTTGAGAGAAGACTGGGGGGGGGTGTACATCAACACAACTTAAATTTGGAGAAAACTGAATTTTTGTTTTAAGTTTTACAGCCTTTATTATTTTTGTACTTTTTACACCCAAAAATTTCATTGCCCGCCTGGCTATGATTAAGTTGTTTAAACAAATGTGTTGAAATTGCAGAAAAAAAATTGTGTGTCTGAAAACTGTCGGTACTAGGGGTACTTAAAAAAAATTTTTTTTTTTTTGAAAAAAGTGTATTTAAAAAAATTTTTTTTTGAAAAAAGTGTATTTTATGAAAAAAAGGTGAGAAACACTGTTATAGACTGTCCCTTCTCACCCACACAATCCTATTTGCAATCACTTAAGATGCATGTGTGAACAGCAGTTGATTAACTGGAATATAATACTGAGATAGTGTGTTTTAATTGTATTTAATACAGCACAAAGTGTTGTCCTTTTGAAAAATGTTAATTATATGATCTTCTATTGCTCTTACTTTAATCATCCCCAGTCGTGTTCATGTGTCTTCTTCCTTGCTTACCATGTATTACCTATCTCCTGCACATGTTGCCACAACTTTGTAGTTTTCTTTTCTTGTTCCCTTGCACATACTTCCCTGCTATAATGTCCGGTCTTCTGTATATGCTTTATAGGTTTCTCTTCTCCACGGAACATTTCTTACTGGTTTGGGTAGCTGCAGCCCCTAGTGAGGCTTGTAATCTTCCCATATTCTTCACTGCTAAAGGGTGACCAGGCATCCCAATTTTATAGGATCGGGGGCTGTCTTATATAGGCACCTATTAAACTCCTGCCCCTTGTCTCAGTTTTTCACAATTACTATATGGTCACTGCAATGAGCTGTAATCCTGTAAAAGCAGCTGGGAACAAGGAAGAACCAGCATGTTATGCCTACCATATTGCTGTGGATTACAACCAATGGGTGTGAAGACCCCAAACACTGCTGTAGATTTTTTTTTTTTAAATGGGGAAGATATCTTAAAGAGCTATCAAAATGCACTTCAGTATGCTTATTTCTACTCTAATCTTAATTTAGGAATTAAAAAAATTATTACAGAAAAATAACTTGATTGAAGGTCAATGTCCTAGGTTAAGCATCTACTTGAAATTTTACTAATATGCTGTCTCCGAACACCGCAAAATACTGAAATTTATTATTTATCCTTCATAATACTGACTTTACAGAGATATACTGTAAATTGTTTTTTGCTGGGCTGTGTATCTACAAAAGTCTTTTTTTGGAGCACTGCTCATAGACTCTTATAGCCTAATAGATTACTGGTTGAGGGTATAAGTACCTATCACTTCTAACCACTCCTTGGTTCCTTTTAGCTCCAGAAGGCAGGAGCAATATAG